ACAAGATACTATATAGGAGATGATCCTGAGACTTGAGATTCCGTCTCAACTCAACAGACATCGGAATGCCCCAAAACTTTCAAAAATTTAACGCGAAAACTGTATTTCGTCAGTGTAAGCTTGAATGCATGTGTGTCATATTATCTTTTACACTGCCAAGCGTCAATATATTTTTCAGAATTTTCAAAAAAATATTGGATAGAGATACAACGTCTTTATAGCTGTTAGAAAATCGTAGGAGCCTTTTATGGAACATAAAATTTATAAAAATTCTCTGTAGGTATTCAAACGGTCCTGCATTAACGGAATTTTGTGCGCCAATCTGCTACAAAAGAAAATTTATCGACGATCGAAATATAAAAAGTGCTGCTCGGCTGAAGCTATAGTTATCGGATTTGAAACAGTTTCTGATGTGCTTATACCCATAGCATCTGGTATTCAAGTTAATTAACATCTGAAAGAGCCTCGTTTCTGAATAGCGAGAAGCGAAGTACTTTCGTCTTTTATCAGCTTTCCCAATCACAGCTTTTGTTAGATAACCCGGGGAGAAATTAAAATTATTAAGATACAGACCTTGTACTGGGTTTTTCTCCATTAGTTTCATATTTTGTATTAATTGCGTTGGCTCTATCATCTGTATTTTAGTTGCTGGTTTAACAAATTTAATCGGCGGTTCCATTTCTTTTAATTGAATAATGTGTAAACCATTATTAGCATCTATTTTACCAACAACTTCAAGATAAGTACCGGGCATAAGTATCACTTCTTTTTCAAGCTTTTTATAGTATGAATGGGCTATAATCGATTTACTATTTTTACTATCAATTGAAAATAATGTTCTTTTTCCAAATTTACCTAAAAATTGTTCCGATTGTAAAACTTCTATATTTAAGGTGCAAGAGCTAACACCCCACCAAACAAACTTTTCACTATTAATATATTTATCACTTAGATCGACATTTTTAACCCCACGATAAACTGGTTGTGCTGCTGATGGTAATTTTTCTAATGCAGATAAAAATAGTTTTAAAAATAAAAACCAAGCTTTCAAATTGTCGCGATTTTCGGCTCGTAATGTTTCATTTAATATTTTATACAGACTTAATCCACTATCAAATTGCATTGTATATAAATGTATTCGAAACCACTCATCTAGAACGTCCGATGCTTTTAGTGGGAAGAAGGAACGCGATCCAGCTGAATCCGGATAGAGGATAGAAGGCCAAAGAATTTCGAAAGCAACGATTTACCATGGAGATTTTATGACTGCAGAAACATATCTTAGCTCTGTTTTATCGTTTCGATGGAATTTTACACGTCAGATCCGTTGGACGTTAGTAAAGAGTCATTTCTTAATCTCGAAACTTGTAGCCGAAGAAAAGGTAACTCATGAAGCAGCAGTTTCTACTGGATAATGTCTCAGTATTTGTCAAGAAACCAATGACATTAAAAATTGGAGAAAGAAACTCGGTCTGTGACTTAGACAAACTGTTAACCAACCCTTTTTCAGGTTTTTTCGAATAATTCATACTAAAATATTATTCTGAAAAGGGGACTTGCACCAAGTATTGTTTCTAAAATTCTGAAGCAACTATTTATCGGGTGTCGACGTCCTCTGGGTGCTGGATTTTTTTCAACATGACGCATCCACTAGGATACTAAGGTATTTTATCAAACCAATGATTACTCACATCCGGATATTCACCCCTTTTTCATACCCTCGCTCATTATTTGTTTTTATAACTCGATGCTAATATGGAAGTTAAAGTGGAAATTATATGTGCAAACCCATAATAACATAATAACATTCTTTGACCACTTCTTGATAGGTGTGCACCGGTTACAGTTTTCACAGTTATACAGTTACGACAGTTATAGTTTTATAGTTAACTGTAACTGGTGCATGCCTATTCCTAGGGAATCGTAGGTATATACTGCAGATGCCAGGTTTTACGTTCAAAACTCGATCCCAAACTGGTAGATATTTTGAAAACTACATATCATCAGACTTCAAGACATAGTGCCGAATCCGCGTACGCTGCGAACTAAAATAGAAACGAGTTCGCGGCGAATTATTTCCAGTCCGCATTCATCAATTTTCAATTCACAATTCGCATAAAAGAAGAAAATGACTTTATTCTTATTTACTACTGCCAGTGTTAGGTGAAGATCGGAATTTAGAAATGAGGATTACTTTACACATGCAGGAATGAAGGAATCATAGTATTGAGAAAGCAAAGGTGATTGAGTGAGAAATGAAGGAATCAAATAATCAAGGAATCAAGCAATGATAAAATCAAGGAGTGAGGGAATGAAAAAATGAAGGAATCAAGGAATGAAGAAATCAAGGAGTGAAGGAATGAAAAAATGAAGGAATCAAGGAATGAAGAAATCAAGGAGTGAAGGAATCAAGGAATGAAGGAATCAAGGAGTGAAGGAATCAAGGAATGAAGAAATCAAGGAGTGAAGGAATCAAGGAATGAAGAAATCAAGGAGTGAAGGAATCAAGGAGTGAAGGAATCAAGGAATGAAGGAATCATAGGATTGGGAAAATAAAGAGTGATTGATTGAGAAATGAAGGAATCAAGGAGTGAAGGAATCAAGGAATAAATAGGATTGAGAAAGTAAGGAATGATAGATTGAGAGATGAAGGTAGTGGCGGAGCCACCGGGGGAGCTGAACTCCCCCTAGAAACCTTCCAGCTCCCCGTAGGAAATTTTAGCTCCATTTGGACTTAGGCTTTTTCCACTAAAGAGTTGCAACAGTACTGTAGGCAGGTTTCGGACAATGAATATGGAGCACAGCTCCCCTAGACCGAAATCCTGGCTCCGCCACTAAATGAAGGAATTATGGTAATGCTAAAGCAAAGAGTGATAGATTAGGAGATGCAGGAATTTCGGTATTAAAAAGATAAAGATTCTAGGCATGTATACTATAAAAAATAAAGTGTGTTACTAGGTGTGTAAATCGGCTAAACCGTCTGTGCTAGAAATGTCTCTGGGAGTGACAATGTGCTAGGAGTGACAGCATATATACTTTCGAGAACGGTGATCACGATTCTAAAATCATGGTTTTTGTTTGATGTAGTAGTTCGCCAGAAAAATAGCAATATAAGAATTTTTTTTAACACACCTAGCTTC